CAGTAGTTGTGGTGCACGTGCTTACTTGTCCATGGCATGTGGGATCTTCCCAGACCAGGGCTCGAACCCGCATCCCCTGCATTGGCAGGCTTATTCTTAACTACTGCACCACCAGGGAAGCCCCTGTAGATGTATTTTTGATGTATTTTTGGGAAGGAAGGTGATCTCCAAGTCTTAGTCCTCCACCATCTTGAAGGCCCCCCGCCATTTATTCTTATATTAATCTTTATTTGCTCACTCAATGAAAGCCAGGGACTTTGCTAGAAATACAAAGACAATACAAGTAAAGGGTTTTATATGTATTCACCTATAAATTCTAGTGGGAAGATGTTCAACTTGAGCTGATATCAGTAACTGACTCCTCAGTATGACCAAAAGTACTTAAGAATAGGATTTGAAAGGGGGTTATAGAAATACAGGAAGGTTTGGGGTGGTTGAGTGGGGAAAGGAACACCCAAAGTGGCAACAAGTAATGAAGTTCAAGGCACTGATTAACCTCATTAATTCACTGTTTTGTCCAAAATTGGTCCCATATTAGGAAATCTAGATTACTTGACATTATTGCAGTCAATTTTCATTTAATCTTTTAAAAAAATCATTTAAAATACATATGTATTATATATATTTTTTGTACTGTTTAAATATATATATATATATGTATATATATATATATATATAACTGGAGTTCCCTGGAGAGAATTAATATATATTTACATATAATTTTTTTCTTCATCCCCTCCAGGAAACCTCAGTTATCCAAGTTTAAGACACAAATCTTTGGATTTCTAGGCAGCCTTTCCACTTAACATTACTATCTCATGTCTATTTTTTATAATGACTATGCATTGCTTCCAAATAAAAATAAAAATGCCCGACTTAGCATCTAGGAAACAGCAATCTTTCCCTTTTGCTTAAATTGCAAAACTAAAGCAATATTTTGCAAAGACTGACCAGGTGGTAGATTGGAGGATGACTTGGAGAGAAGGGAAAGTGGAAATGCTGAAGCTATAGCAAGACCCATTTTTCTGGACTTTGTATCTCCTCTTCTCATATGCCCCCGCCACCTCTCTCAGGCGGATGCAATGGCATTTCCCTCTAGTCTCTTTTAGCACGTAGAGATACACTCTGTAACTCTAGATTCTGTGCTGATACTTTATGTCTATCTATTTCTTTATATATGCTGGCCCTTGATCCACATAAGAGGTTCTAAAGTATTAATTTTAGATTATGGTAGTGGTCATCAGGAGAATTTATGAAACAAAACGAACTTGGGATAGATTGTGAGGTAAGACTCTACAGAACTTGATACTGATTATACAGAGGCGAGGCGGAGGGCGGGAGCGGAAAATTAGGTAACTTCTGTGCACAGTGCAGAAGAGTGGTGCCAGTAGCAGGAGTCGGGACAAGATATTTGTTGGAAAGATCTCAAAACTGAGCTGGACACAGCTCTTTGCAGAAGAGGATTAATGGACTGTTGTGAGGAGGCAAGATTTAGGGGTGACAAGTGCAGGTGAGCCTTCCATCCTCAGGTCAGGATTTCTGGGTGCAGAGCAGAGCCCAGGCCAAGGCCAGGCAGCCTGGACCCCAGACCCATGCAACCCCTCCCCAGGCCCCCGCGCCTGCGCTCTGCTCTGCGCCGGTGCCTGGGTTGTGGCCACGTCTCTCCGGGGACCGTGGGGCTGCAGGGGGAGGGCTGTGCTGCCCCCATACTGTGGGAGGCCCCGGGCCTGCCCCCAGGCCCCTAAGAGGTCCTAGGGGGGCCTGGGGTGGGTGAAGGAAGCCCTGGCAGGGCCGTCTGTGCATGGCCCCGCCCCTCCGGAGCCCAGCCAACTTGAGCCGTGGCCCCAGGAGCCCTGACCCATGGGCCAAGCCCTTACAGAGTCCCACCCCTCAGAGCCCTGCCAACTGGAGCCCTGCCCCCACTGAGCCCCACCCTGTGCCCCAGCTGCCCTGCCCCACTTCCCAGGGGCCCCACTGGATGTGGAAGCCGGGACCTTCCTCAGGAAGTCAATGGAGCAGAGCATAGACTTCTTCCTGGGTGCCCACTCCTCCCACTACCTCCCCCAACTGCCCCGCAACCCCTCCTCTTGGTGGCCACCTGCAGAGGCAGCGAGACCAGGCAGGGGCAGGAGATGCGGGGTAGGTGTCCTTGTCCCCAGCACGGCAGCCCCTCCTCTTCCACCTCAGCCCTCTCACCTGGCCCCCACCCCAATCCTACCGCCACCAAGGGGGCCACAAGGAAAAGGAGCAAGCAGAACAAGTCAGGGGCCCAGAGGCACCCAACGGAGGACGTGGCAGAGGCTGACAGCCGGGGGCCGGAGTCAGGAGACCAGGAGCTGAACAAGAGGCTTGAGTCGTGTGGAGCGGGGGCACAGCAAGTCAGGGACCTGCTCATCAGGCGTAGGAGGCTTGAAGCCAGAGGACGAGCCAGGGCTTGGTAGGTGGGGGCTTTGGGTGTGGAGCTGGTCTTCAGATCTGGCTCATCTGTTTCTGGGGCTGATGGGGGGGGAAGTCCCTCCGTCGCTGCTTGCCTCTACTTAATTTCAAATTCCTTCTCCCCTCCCCTCCCCTCCCGTCCTCTCCCCTCCCCTCTTCTCTCTCTCTCTGGTTTTATCCTTGTCTGCTCTCCTGCCCATGTCTGAATTTGGTTCCTCCCCCCTTCTCAGAATCCGGAATCATGGAATGTTTGGTCCTAATCAACATCAACATCCCTCAAGGAACAGCTGAGGAACTGAGACCACCAGGGAATTCAGGGAGCAGCGTAGAGCTCAGGAAACTTGGTCTGTTGAATTTCCAATCAGTGCTTTCCTGCCAGTTGTTCTTGCTGGGGGTTAGAGAGGCCGTGGGTTAGAATAGGGAAGCAGGGACAGGAAGCTAGGCAAAAATACTGTAAATTATCAAAAGAACAAATATGCTGGCTGCTCTGTGTAAGGCAGGGAGGGTTTTCAGAATGGACCCATAGAGCATAAGCAAAAAAGTAAGCCAAGTGGCCTTGGGGTACTACCTTGTGGGGTGAGAGCTAGAAGGTGGTCAGGTTCACCTGGCAGACGTTGAGGAAGGGCAGCATGGAGGATGGCCACCTTGGGAACTGGGTGTTCATTTTAGCTCCGGGAGGAAATCGGTCTTTGTGAAAGTGCTGGGGGAGGGGCTGCATCTCAGTGAGGGAAGGTGGGACTGATCTTTGAGGGGTTACAAGCAAAAGTAAAACGAAGGGTTTCTTCTGGGGAAAAATGCAGACTGGTGCAGAGAGGATGTCTGTCATGGAGCTTTGTCGTGGTGAGCTACAAAGAGGCCATGTTCAACTATTAATTTCAAAGCTGGCTTCTGTGAGTTCATTGTTCATATAATAAAAAGAGGACTAAGTCACAAGGGCGTTGGAAAATCATCACTATTGTTGTTTTCAGTGACTTTCCATATTGTAGACTTTGCTTGATTTTCAAATTCACAATATATTTACTATTTATAACAGGTATTAGCATGGCCAATATTGAATTTTAGTACTTCCCCTCTGAAGATGAGGAAAATCAAATTTAGAGATGGCAGGTCATTTTTCCAAGATCACTATCTACTTATATGGTAGAACTTTGATTTGGGAAATGAGAATTTTGTGTCTGAATAGTGAGTTTTATTGTTTTTAAATTTTCTTTAAAAATTAGTAAGCCACACATACATGCTAAGGTCTATTTCCCTTCACAGCTCACAAGTTTGTATCGATTATGTGAAAATATTTGAAAAAATAGTCACTTGATAATACATTATTATTAAATAAGAACACAAATGGTTGCAAGTAGTCTCAATTTTTTAGGTATTAAACTCTTTATAGATTGTAACTCTTTAAACGGTTCTATCAACTTCATTTCTGAGTTGAATGCCACAAATGTTTTGTTTTCCATGCCAAGGTTCTTGGCTGCAAATGGCAGAAGCCAATGCCTCTCGTGGGAAGTGGTAAAGGCAAAAACATTGACTTGATTTATTGTAGCTCACAGAAATGATGGCAAAGCAAGAGAACACATTACAGAAATTTGTATTAGAAATAATTGAGGCAAAGCAGCCAAGAAATCAGCAGGTGTCACCACTGGACTCTTGCTGCCTTATTGCTCCCAATCCACTTACAAGACATGAGATGGTGGATAAATAGAAAATGTCCCATGAAAACTTCGGGCTGACTCTTGATCCCTACAGTGCTTCCTTAAGATTCCAAGATCTGATCAAGAGCTAGTTAGGACCCTGCTTTAACACCATTTGAAGATCCCCATCAACACAGAGAGTGCTTGCATGTTGGTTGCCCACATCACAAAAATTTTGTAATGCAGTTGTATGTTGAGGCCTTTTCTAAGCAACAGCTAAGTTATACAGCAATTTCACTGAATAGCTTGGAGTAACACAGCTTAGTAGAGAGAAAGTCTAACATCTAAGTCTCTTGACCTTCCTTCCTTTTTATCAGGTCACCATGTTTATCCATAGCTTTATGAAACACAGTAAATATAATTAATACCTATTACAGTGCCTGCTGTGGTACATGTAGTTTAAATGCTCCTCCATTTTTTTTTTCCTTGTCTGCTTTGAGTGCTGACTTAAAAAATGAGTTTTCTCGTGAATTTGCTTTGAAGATTATTTTTTATTATACTTTGAATATAAATCAGTAAAAATGACATATGTGAAATTGTCACCTTGTATTCATGGCCAGTGTAAGCTTAGGTCAGTGAATAAAACTTGGAACAAATCAACTGTTTTAGGCATTAGAGCAGACATCTGATTTCTGTCTTTGCCTGTGAAGAAAAAATGCTAAGTTTCTCGATTTGAAAAATATATTGCATTCCAAGAAAGCTGAAATTCAGGTAAATTCTGCAGTTTTTCCTGTTCTATCCAACACAAAATAATCGTTTTATCATAGTTTTGCTCTTTTTTGCACAAAAAGGACTTTAAAACAAACCCTCAAGGATGGGATTAGTACACTCAGAGAGCCCTCTTACTCTCTTCCTAGCATGTGAAGATAAAATGAGAAGTTGGCAGCCTGCAAGCAGGAAGCAATCCCCCACCAGACCTGACCCCGCTGGCACCCTGATTTCGAACATCCAGCCTCCAGAACTGTGAGTGATAAATTTCTGTTGTTCATAAGCCATCCAGTCTGTGGTATTCTGCTATTGCAGCCTGATCTAAGACAAGGAGTCATTTGCTTTTTCTTTCTTTGTTTCTTCCTATATGGATATCCACTTACTGCAGAATCATTTAGTTGAAAGATTATTTTTTTCCCCACTGAATTGTCATGGAACTTTTGTTATAAACTGTAAACCATTCTGGTGTTCTCTGTTGTGTTTCATAGGTTTATTTTTATACATATTCTGTCTTAATGGCTGTTGCTTTACAGTAAGTCTTGATATCAGATAGTGGAAGGTCTCCAAGTTCGTTCATCTTCAAAATTGACTTGGCTATTCCAGGCATGTCCGTATAATTTTAGACTTAGTGACTTTTTGCTCGTTTTCTCTCTTCTGTTAGCTGTTTAAATTACATTTTTATTTTCATGGTTTAAAATATGTATCCTTGACTGCTTACAATCTCCCTTAAATTAGAATATTGACTACTTTTTGAATGATGTAAAAAAATTTTAAAATGTTTAACTCAATTTACCCACCCACAGTTTTTGGTATTGTTGATATATATTTTATTTCTTCTTATGTTATAAACTCACAAGGCAGAATTATCACTCTTGCTTTAAAAGTCACAGTGACATATTTCTCCACAAGTTTCCCTTTTCTGGTCTTCCTTTCTTCTGGAACTTTCTTCTTCCACTTATTATCATTTCATTTCAGTCTAAAGGAACTCTAAGTAATTCTTATGGTGCATGTCAATTGGCACATATTGTTTTAGTTCTTTTTTAGGTGGTGAGGTATCTGAAAATAAGTTTATATTGCCTCTGTTTTTGAAGGATGTTTATTGAGGGATTAGAATTATAAAGTGGCAGATTTTCACCCCTTTAGGCCCTTAGCAGATGTAATTTCATTGTCCTTCTCCTAGGTTTTATTGTTTATCTTCAAAAGTTAGTCATCAGATATAACGTCACATTTTAAAAAGTAGCGTGTCATTTGTCTCCATCTGCTTCTAAGGTCTTGTCTTTGGTTTTGGTTTTCAACATTTTAATTTTGATGTGCCTAAGTGTGTTATTTTGTTTCCAGTTTTCATTCATGGGGTTTCCTGAGCTTCTCGAATCTGTGGGTCAATGTGTTTTCATTACTTTAGGAAAACTCTTAGCCATTATCTCCTCAAAAACTACTTTTGCCCATTCTCTTCCTCCTCTTTTTCTCTATGCCTCACTTTGCATATTTTCTATTTATCCACCATCTCATGTCTTGTAAGTTTTTATTCGAGGAAAGACATTGTTATAGTCACAGAGGCTTCAGATTGTATATCCTCCCCAGAAAGTGTTCTCCATTTTTGTGTGTCACACATTAGTCATTAAGCTGCGTTGGTTCTGTGTTGCAATTTTAGTAAGAATTAGTCAATTTATGATTTGTCTCTGTTCCTGAGATTAGACCATTAGGACTATGAATTTAGAGCTGTCGGGTCTCTCTCTTCAGGTGTGAAAGACCATGGGAACTTTAGTTATACTCTACAGAAATGTGAGCAAAATGCTTTTCTCTAATCTCAAATTCCTTATATATATATTTATTACAGGTTATTGTGAGGAATTAAATGATCTGATGTATCTAAACTATTTAGCAGTGTTTGACATATAGTACATTTTCAAGAAATGTGAACTGTTATTGGTTGATTGTAGATATTATTCTTTCGATCTTACATGACTTTAGTGAGCATCCTTTCCTAGAGATTTAGTGAGCTGCAGTTTGCTTGCACCTGTTGGCACATACAGATGTAATTATGCTGAGTATATGGACGATTATGTAATGGATGACGTCAGCTAAAAGTGATGTCCAGAGCTGGTCCTCGGCTAGGGCTAACTGCTTTCCCAAGATGGTGACCACAGTATCTTCCATCTCTCCTTTTCCTCCAACGTGACTTTGACTCTCCTCCCAATGAGGAGACTTTTGGGACTTATTTTAACCAATAAATTATGGCAGAAGCAATGCCCTGGGCTTTCTGAGGCTATATTATAACAGGTTCTTAAGCTTCTAATTTGTGTACTAGATAGAGTACTGACCCGTTAGACCTTCATGCACGTGTAAACAGTCCAACTGCCCTAAGGTTGCCTGACTGAGGGATCACGTGGAGTTTCTGAGACCACGTGGAGAGACAAGCTCCTCCAGCCCCAGCTGTCCCCGCACTGTTCTGCTCTAGTTCCAGGTGCTGGCTGACTCACCCCATGAGAGGCTCTGAGCCAAAGCCACACTTTCAAGTTCTTCCCGAGTTCCTGATCCATAGACACTGGGAGGCACGATGGAGTGAGCGTGGTTGTTCTGAGCCAGTGTGTGATGGAGTGACTTCTCAGCACCAGATAACCAGAATGAGTTGTCGAGACGCTGTCTCTGCCATGTACTTTTCTTTGGCACCGTCCACTCTCCGCCCAGACTCGTTCTCCCCTCCTAACAGAGGGACAATATGCAGTCCTTCACGTAGCCTTGACCTCTTAATTCTGCTCTGCCCAGATTGTGCCCGGACTTCCCCACATACCCTGAAATGAAACTGACTCGCTGGAACTTGCGAGATAATTGGCTGACTAACCGAGTAAACGAATTTTCCCTAAAGACTTTATGGTTATTGATATCTTAATACGTTTCTCTTTCTAGAGAGGCACATTAATATCTTCTAAAAATCTTCTAAATTGGCACTCAAAATAGATTGACTAATGTTTGGATTTTGGATAGAGTGAAGATCTTTTGAGGAAAATATTTTTAAGTGTTGAAGAAGGAGATGTGCAATGTTGCAAGATGTTCAGGACCTGAAAAATCACCCTGTATGGTCTCTGCCTATAGCCCATTCTTTCTTTTATCCCTGAGTAGCTAAAATAAGTAATGTGATGACATCTCATTTTGCTGTGGGTTCTTAATCTGAAATCGTAATCAATGGTCAAAATGTTTGCAGAGCATTCCAAATCCCTTGTATTAGAATCAACCTAATAATGTCAAGATATTATTGGCATTACATAGGTTTCTGTATGGTGAGGTTCAAATCAACACTCTAGGCTTAGTTATATTAGGAAAGCTAATGTATATAAGCTAGAGCTAATGTTAATCTGATTGTCAAAACTAATTAGGCTGAAATTTTAAATTGTGAACTTCCACTAAACCACTGAACCAATGCTATCTAAATTGGAAGTGTTTTTTTTTTTCTCTCTTAATACAACATAGAAGAGACTCATGAATTTTTCATGTTACTTATGGTCATCTCTGCAACAGAGTGTGGGGTTCCAACCTGACCTGCAAAGTATACCTGCAGCATGTTAATAAAATGTCTTCTTTTTACCTAGACCAGAGTCTAATGTATATGTGACTTCCCAAAGTGGGAGTAGATAAGCCAATTAATTGGTGTCACACAAATATTCTGTGGGGTGTGCCAAGATAATGCTCCAGTAGGTCCCATGGACAATCCAAGGAGTTTCTCTTAGGATCGCCAAAAGGATGCTAGACATTCTCCCATCTGTTCTTGGAAACCCTTTGGTCCAACCACTGAAAGGGAACTAGGAATCTACATGCCACCTATTCCAAAAGCTCTTTCTCTGGGCTTGTGGTTTAATCGCTGTTATTTGTGAACAATGCAAAAAAATGTTCTCTGGTTTTCTGGTTTCCTGGCTGGGCTTACTGAGCCCTTCCCTCTGTCCACTGACTTGTTTCCTGGTTTTCAAATGTATCTCAGACTCTCCACCTGAAAAAGAAATGAAATATAAATGCACGCATATTGGTAACACTTCGCATGTACTGCTTATACCTCAGGCTACACTTGTAGTTCATTCTTTTGTTTTAATATCAACCTTCCATCCATGAAAAGTTTTTGCCACTCTTATGACTTTTTTAAATTGAAGTGTAGTTGATTCACAATGTTGTGTTAATGTCTGCTATACAGCAAAGTGATTCAGTTATACATACACATATATATATATTCTTTTTTTTATGTTCTTTTCCTGAAATTTTTAAGTTAAATGTTGATTTCTCCATTTATTTCTTGTGGGTGTTCATTCCATCACAAAGACCTATTTTTTTTGCCTTCCGAAGTGCTCCTTTACCCTATCTTTTCTTTTTCTACATTCACTTGCACTGTCCTTATCTATGCCCAGCATATAAATATAAGAACCGGTGTGCATTTTATAGAAAGGGAATCATTACTACCATTGACTACGTTCTATGTTGTGTCAACCGTATTCAGAAATGACTCTGAAATGTGTGAAAAAATTAGGGTCTGCGTTAGCTCATTGAGTTGTGAACCTTTTCTATGCTGTTAACTGAACCGTGTGATGAGGGAATATGATAGCTTGCCCCCCACCAGCCCCATACACACACACACCGCCAGCACGTTTGTTGGAGATGATCACATAGTTAGTGAGGTTTTACTGTTTTGGGAGGTTTGACTAAAATTATATTATAATTCAGCTCAGGCAAATGGAGAAATAAACAATTTATTGTAATAATATACCCAGAGTTTGGACATGAAAAGAAATAATGAAACCAGAAAAAATAGCTTTTAAATTTCTTTTTGTCTATTTCTTCAAAATATTTGCAGTGGCGTTATCTATAAAGATGTATACGGTAATAGGATGTAAGTTATTCCTTCAACAGTTTTATTTTGAGTATTTTCTAAAATTTTTATTTCCTCAATATTATTTTACTGGATGATTAATGTGATCAACTTCATTTACTGAAAATTAAAGAGTTAGCATAATAGGAATTTCAGAGTAAAGAGACAAAACATTTCTTGAACCTCACAAGTATTAAATATGCCTCAGAGGCACAAAAGAAATTCTGTGGCATGAAAGTCTCAAATTTCAAAATGAGGTGGCATGCATTTTATGCTGGAATGTTCATTCTATAATCAATAATGCATAATTTTTATTCATAATATACACAAACACTTCTTTCCTGCAAATAATGGAGCCTGAGACCAAGATCTCCTAAGTGTACACGAGTCCGGGATTTTGTTTGGT